GTGTGCGCGTGCATAACGATTTAACCGAAAGCGTAAAAATATAATCCACTTCACGATAATGAGTACGAATAACAACACACTTGACTTATCTCCTGTATATTTGCATCGTGATGATTACTATTTTTTTTATTATTACACTGTCTATTGATAGTCGCTTTGTTAATACTGAGATGTTATCAAATAACGGAGCGGCCTGTGGTGGGCGCGCGCGTGCGTACGTATTTTACGTCAAAATCAGCTTATCGCGCACGCACGCGTAGTCGGTAATACTCGAAAAATCGAAATTGAATACGTACATTATACACACAGCATTTTATCTAAGTTGCAGCGGAGAAGGGATGCGTCGTGGGGTTCGAGGAGAGTTAACTTTGTTCGGAAAACTTTTGTTTCACGCGGTGTATGATTGACGTGCCAAATGAAAGTGCTTGGAAGATTATAGACGTACAGAAAATGTGTGTATAGTACATATACCGGCAGCGCAACTGATAGGGGTGATAGTATATACTTATATACATTTACTATACCGTATATATATGTGGTATCGTAAAGAGGGATTAGAAGTCAATGTAATTTGACGAGGACAACGACGATGGCATGCGCACCCCGCCCAGTTATCTGCACTAATGATTGATGATGAGCAAACACTCGCGCGTTGTAGGTACAACCCACTTCTTCGACAAAAACGAATACAGACACGTCGATGAGTAAATTTCCGTATAAAAGTCGGGTCGTCGAACTTACTCATTTCCCCTGGTCACCCCCAAACCCCGTTATCGTAAAAATAATATAGGCCTGTGACACCCCCCTCGCGACGTAGAAGTTCATATGCAGCGTTTTGTATAGGTACCTACTAACTTTTCGGGTTTCGTTTTTGTGCGTATGCATACCGCACCAGGATTTAGAGCTTCGGGACGGAAAAAAGTTTTCATTTTGATCAATTAAAAATAAACATGACTCTTATAAATATATATAAAAAAATTAGCTTCAGCAAAACAACACCAGAGTTTGGCTGTTTAATATATAATTGTTATCACTGAGTTGGTTATTTAACGGCAATGTTACGTCGTTGTTAGTTGTTCGTAAAACGAAAATCTCATCCTGTATTATATAGAATAATCAAGTGATATACATACGATTTCAATACTAATGAATTATATTTTTATCCATTCCGAATATATCGTTACAAGTGTGCGTATTTATATTTTGTATAAAGTAATGTATGTATACGTGTACATATTATTTACGATATAGCTTTCAAAACAGTAATAAAATGAACGGCCGTTTTTATCCTCTACCAAAATTGCTTTATTGCTACTATTATTTTTTGCTTGCGTAAACTTTAAACGTTTTACGGTTCTAAAAAATAACAACTGAATATAAGGTTAAGAAATGAGCACGTAAATTACAATTTTCGAATGATAAAGAAAATATATTTATATATATATATACATATATATTAACATCTCTATTTACATTCATACATACTATACAGTTTTTATTTTTTAGGTAAGCATTTCAAATAATAGTAAAAATAACAACGAGATTTTTCCGAAAAAAAGAAAATAATAATAATAATAATAATAATACGCTCACATATAAAATATATAATATTTTTTTGTACAAAAAATTCATAACATTCGTAACCGACGTAAATCGAAAAAGATATTGTCGTGTCTAAAACGTGGCATAACATTCTCGTATTATATTAATCTTATATGCTTTACTATTGTACTTATGACGTTCGAGTGTCGTCGTTATATGGGATTGTAATATTGTCAGCGTTTTGACGGTTTATTTGACTTAGTTCTTTTTATCTTGGGTGTGCCTTCTGGTTGAACCGAGGTATTAGTACTGAGCAAACAAAATGAGAGGCAAAGCAAGGAAAAAAATTGTTAGAACACGAGTGAGAAAAAAAACACATCCTATGGAAACATATAATACCTCGTATAATACTTAATATAACATATACGGCCTTTTGTTACTTACAAAGACAATGATCATCGATTGTGTATAACCCCTGAATTAGTATAAAATATATAAAAATAAGTGTCTGTGTGCGTGTGCATGGTGTAAATATAACGGTTCAAATTACGAACACGATCTCAAAAATTAATACATTTTATTAATTCAATAATTTTTCATAAGGATACGAACTCCAGAATAGAATACACCTGTTGTTTAATGTAAGAAACATTATAACCAAATACGGTGAATATATGTACCAAAGTATAGTTTTAAAATTTATTATTTTATCAAAAATATTTAAAAAAAAAATAATTAAAAATATGAAAGAATGTTGATTTAAAGTAATTTTTTCATATACATTTTTACGACTATTCAATATAATCACGTATCGGATTCATTTTATCAAAAATAAACGCCCACATTTGATAAATCGAATTATTTCTATACCAGAACAGCAATATTACGTAATTATTATTTTTGGGAGACTACATAAATAAAGGCTTGTGAAAAACGATACATCAGTCATACATTTTAAACTAAATTATTACTTATTATTAATTATATTATTATATACAGCCGATAAGCTGAGGAAGAAGAAGAAATAATATTATTTAGTCGTAATATTGACTTGTTTTATACTAAAATCTTATTTATCTTATATAATTCCAATACAAGGGTATATTTCTAATGAATTAAAAAAAAAAGTTAATGAAATATTATATTATATTAAATTATATTAATAATAATTTAACAAAATTAATTTAATTTTAAGTATAGGTAAACAGCTGAGAAGTACAATATTTAAGTTTGCAATTTATCTACGGAACAATTATCTTAAGAGTAGTTGAAAACCTACTTGAAAAATATGAATAAAATTAAATATTATATACAAACTTAACAAAAGCATATGAGTAGACAATATTAATGATTAATGTTCTGTAAATATATAAAAATGTAACATAAATATTATGTGATACAAAATTATTCTTGTATCAGGATTGTACACAAGAATATCGGAAAAAGAATTGTAAGCTACATTTTATAATTCTAAATAGGTTTTTTTCATTTTATTATGGATACAAATATAATTATGAAGCTAATATTTAAAAAAAAAGTTGAATAATGAATTATTTAAAGAAGAAGAATAAAATATTTAATATGGCCATCTTCGACTGTAAGATAAATATAATAATGTAAAAATTATTTTTAGTAGACTAAGTACCTAAATATTTATATGAAAAGTATTAACTAATTAAGTTTATTTAAGTTAATTATACTGGTATTTTTAAGAAGAACATACCTAATGCAAAATTTGTAAAAAAAAAACAAAGCTTGTAAGGGCATACATACGGTTCATTAGAAGAGCCAATCATTTCTTTTTCGACATTATCAATAATAATAAAAAAAAAAGAGAAGATTATTAGAGCAAATAGCAATCCAATTGTTTTTGGCAAATATTAAATTCACTTGTGAGACAAACAGTGGTGGAAGCCTCAACAAGTGTTACAGAAACCATACGACGACAATGACGGAGGCACATTAGGGATTTGTAGGGTTTTGCTGGCACAACAAAATCGACATAAAAATTATCCAGAGAAAGAATACTATGTAATAGAAAACAAAAATGGAATTTTTTTTTTTCATTTTCTTTTTTCTTTTTTCATTTATTTTTTACTGTTGAAGCAAAATTAATCAGTATTCCAAAATAAGGGACGGGTAAACGCAATGCTTCTTGGAGAGGGCTGTACGAGTGATGAATACTAAATGAAGATGAAACCAGTGACGGCGACGGTGTTTTTATTAATTTAAATGGTTATTTATTCTTCCCAATAGTTAAATAATAATCCCAATAAGTTCAAACACCATGACAATGGACGGTTTTTTTTATTCAGTTTTTCAATGTAATTTTAATTAAAAATTGATGACTGAGAAAACGCAAAATTGAATGCATAAAACAATTGGTAAAATTTTGATTTGGGCACGTAGAAATCCTTAAAATGTAAAGCTTACATATTTCCCCTTACCTTTGACCTCTTTCACCCTTCGTTATGTTTACTATTACTACTGCTAACCCCATAATTTACTTTTTTTTTTACATTTAAAGAACATTATAGCATGAACTCTCGACCTTGTTATCTTCGGTATATGCTTTTCTTAGGTTAACACTAAGATAAACTAAAAGAGGGAGGGGGTAAAAAAAGTTCAGAATAGGTAAAGAAATATACAAATGTTCGATGTACCTCATGGGATTACATTACTAAAAAATAATATACTCGAACACCGTCAGATAGTAAAATTGTTTTAATTTTCCACTTGAGAATCTTGCGAAATCGCACTTGTAATGTTATATAACTTATAAGTGTACTGCATTACAAGACTATAAGGATAGTTTTTTTTTTACGTCATATTATTTTCCGTCGTTTTTCATGAATATTAAATACATAATATATTTTGTTTCCATGAGGAACAACGCACGCTGCTAAATCGCGAAAGGCGTTATTATTATAATCTACAGAGTGATCTTCGAGGCGCGTGTACCGAATATTTGCGTTAAACAAACATGTAACAAAAAATGTAAATATATTATGTAAGTTTGTATTTGAAAGACCGTTCAAGTTAACAGACCGTAGTTTAGTTGCAATTACTTCGCAACATGTTGTTTTCGAGTTTAATAATTTCTTCGGAAGGATCACGCGCCCCGTAGTTCACAGGACAATGATACCATAATCTATTAATGTACGTAAATAGTAAATGTATATGATGCACAAACCAATGGATAAAATAAAAATCCCAACTCGTCAGCGACACAATAGATGACAGTAAAATTAAAAATAAAAAAAAACAGTGACGGAAGGACGGACAGGCACAGACACCACAAGTAAAAATAATAATAACAATAATAAATTAAGATTAAACCGATTTAAGAAGAGAAATTAAAATGTACAAGGGTTACGCAATATGAGAACACTAAGACTTTATAAAATAATAATAAGAAAACATAAAAAGAAAAAATCAAAAAAAAAAATTATTCTAACTCATTTTTTTTTTCATAACGTGTATCCCGCGATTATATATAAAAAAAAATAAAATAAATAAATAAATAAAAAATGAAAACGATAAAAAAATTAAATAAACTGATTTGATCTCTTTTCGGGCGCGACACGCACACACGGCACGGGCGACAAATTGATTTCGAACGATATTATAACAGTGTTATGCGTATGCGGCGGAAAAGCGTGGGCGACGAAAACGCGATGGCAAACTATCGGCGCGACCCGGCGTTCGACTGGCCCGGCCCCCCACGAGCACACCGTAACCGACGACTTGTAGACGCGCCGCTACCCTCGCGGCGCTTTCGGCCGCACTCGTGCCGCTTCGCCGCGGTAGCCGCCGCCGCGTTATCAGCCGACTTGGCGGTTTTTTTTTTTCATTTTTTCGTCTGTTCCCCGTTTATGTTTATTTTTTTTTAGGTCGCCGAACCGACCGCCACCGCCTCCGGGTCGAACAGATAATAACACGATGATATACAATAACAATAACAATTCGGTACATATTATTATCATCATCATCACTTACTACTATTACTGTTACTATTACTATTATTATCGTCATCGTCGTTGCTATTTGTTAGGGCGCGCACGTGCGGCTGCAGTGGTGGGTGGTGCATAACGCGTACTGTACACAATGATAACGATATTACGACGTACAACGCAGCGCAGACATAGGACAAGGCAACGCCGCCGCGATTCCGCATTTTCCGTCAGCGGGAAATCGAAGCGAAAAGCGAAAGGGTTTCTGGACGGTCACCCACTGTTTTCCGTGAGACGGTAGGAACGAAATGTGCACCTCGGAGGAAATCTGACGGTACAGAAATCGGCAACGGCCGCGTGCATCGTAAACGAATAACCGTGCTATACGTGCATTTCGATTAAAAAAAAAAGAAAAAAAAAATCACTTGTCCGAAAATGTTGCGTAAGACGAAAATCCTACACACTGTGTTCGGGAAAATAACATAAACACAAGGGTTAAGTTAAAGATGCGTAAATAATGCAGTGAAATGAATACGTCAATGTATAGGTTAAAGTGATATTTAACATAAAATACAAATCTTTTTACCACGAAAAATACTAATCTTAATATAAGAAAAAGTTACTGAAAACATACATCTGGAGTATAGTACTATACGTTTGTGAATTATGGTTTGTTTGAAAATAAGAACAGAAAGAAATAGAAGCATTCGAAATGTGGTGCCACATAAAGATGAAAAAGAGAAGTTGGAATGGTAAGATAACGGACGAAAAAATATTTATTAAAAAAGGTCTTGTAGAGAAGATCACCATGGAATAATGCAAAGAAAATGGAGAAACGAGTGAATTGATCACATTCTCAGATACGGAGAATTGCAAAGGCTAATTTTGGAAGTAATGGATAGTTGAAAAATAATTTGAAACCAAATTCAAGAAGACTAAAAATGCAATTCATACAAAGAAGATGAAGGGACAATAACAGAAGATTATGGAAATTGTTGCATATGATAATTAGATTGATAATTGAAAAAGGACAGCTATTATTATTGTTATTATCATCATTACTAACATTATTACTTATACATACGGTTGTACAGCACATACTGTGTAATGTTTACATTAATAATATAGTGTGGTGAGAACAGAAGAACACCGCAGCGATATCGCTGTGGAACGACGTCTACGGAATGGTCAGCAGGAAATCGAAGCGAAGCGGAGGATTTTCAAATGATAACGCTCTATTTTCCGCGATGAAGATGGAATAAAACTGACATCCTGAAGAAAATTTAACGGCAGAGTAACCAACGGTAATCGAGTACATTGCGAACGGGTAAACGAATAATTATATCTCAAAAATAACACTCTTGTCCATAGGTGTGGGTTATATAAAAATTAATACGAGATGATGATGCTGGTGATTATGGTGCTCAGTAATTTTTCTGATTTACTCGATGAAGTGTTATACTCAGTGGAGGGGTGGCATTTTTTCTTTTCTCCACTTCGACCACTGGGTAAACTATTTCTAGTAAATTAAATTAACATGACTTTTATATTATAATACTAAGGATAAAGATTGCTTATCCTTTTGTTATAACTTACATTATATGCGCTTAGGGTTTATGAAGTAAATGTCAAACCACCCAAATTATTTCAATTTTACTCAATATTAGTATAACGCCGAGTAAATCAAAAACTTTTCTTTGGACCATAATTGACATTGCGCAACTTTATACTGCAACAAAACATTTCGTTTACTTTTATAATACTTTGCACATTTTAACACGAGTAGCTGACGGAGCAAATAGTATTTTTGTTGAGATATCATTATATAATAACCGTAGTGCATTACTGTATTTGTATAAAAATAAAAATACGTAAACTTGCAGTATAAATGTTAATGATGTAATAAATGTGCGTTATTAATGTAATAATGTATGTATTTATACGTATATAGCCTATTGTAATATATAACGTATTGTACACGGCAACACTTCTCCGATATAAGTATCTAATAGTAATTGTCTTAAAGTTATAAGTTATAAATTTACCAATCAAATCATTATTTCCTCGTCGATCACAAACAGGATTCTATCTGTTTTTTCTGCCACGAAAGCAGAAAGAGTCTATTTATTAAATATATAGTCGAAACCATGTATACATTATATATTATATAAGAAAATATATTATATTTTGACATGAACAACACTATAACGTATACAATAACAGTGTTCGTTCTAAAATGAAGAAATGCATACAATTTATACGATAGAAAACTATACTGTTTCGAAATAATACTTTTTTATTTTTATACTTGGTTCGCACCATAACCCTGTCGCTGGATACCATTGCCATTTCTTCCCACTTAGCTCGCGCCACGACCACTGCACACTGGATATAAATATAAGATATATCTAAAGAACAACAATATTTTGTACATATCTTAGAACACAATAATAATATGCCTACCACAAGTATCTGAAATATCACGCTAGTATATAATGAAAATAAAAATAAACAATAATGTAATGTTCCAGTAATGTTCTCGGTAATTTTTTTTTCAAAGAAATTTCTTAGTTGTACAATATTATTTGAATGCGATAAAAAGGTTTTATTCATATATTGATATATAATCAGCTCAAGAAAAGTGAAAAAAAAATAAAGAAAAAAAAATTCAAAGGGTTATAATAATTAATACAATTTAGCGATTTTTAAGCCAGACTCGAAACCATTATAACAATGCCCCGTTAAACGCATTTGTATACATGATTGTTAAGCTAGCGTATATAATGAAGCAAACAGTGACGACCTATGAGGTTAGATTTGAAAGAAACCATTGTTACAATGTTAATGTTTAACCATCCATCAAATAATTCGGAACGTAGGCGATTGTCATTGGCTCATAACCGGTCAGCTGATATTCATGGCTGTAGAATGTACTATCTTGTGCTATATGTGGCCGTTGAAACGTGATAAACGTTTAGTAGTTAAAATATTCACACCATGGATTGACTCATAATCTAATTGGTCGATTTAATTGGTCCAGCTATGTAGACTCGATGGCTACTCGTCGCTAACGATTTAGCGTGCGACAAAAGCAACCGATCGGAAATGTCTGAATTTAACAGCCAGTTTTAGCTTAACGTTGCAAAATAAAAAATAACAATCCACTAGCTAAATGTATCTATTAATATATACTGCTATGGTGAGAAGTCGATTTTAATAGCGGCCCTAAGAATAAAAAAAAAATATCATGGATTAATATGCGAATAACCTAGTTTTAAAGTTTCCTGTCCGAAAACAAACATTGTTTATTTTATAGATTTTGATTTGAGTCACTCGAATTTTCTAAAAATCTCTCCGTAAACATTTTGATACTTTTATAGAAAAAAAAAACATGTGGCAAAAAATTTAACTATTGTAAAGCTAATACATTAACTACTGCTGTGTATCGACACTCGAAGTTTGAAATTTGCCCAGTATGTAAATAACAACATTTCCAACGATGAATAAAGGTGTATTTTTATCCACATGGTTAACACATAGCCCTATCGTACATTATTTTCAACACTAATAACAGGGCGCTTATCCAAAAGTTACTTGTCACCATACAACCCTATAGTCCCTAATTATCAAAAAGCCGAAGAACTATTATCATCCCGAAAATACGCCAACCATTAATATGTTCAATGGCGCCGTAATTATATGGATGAAATTAAAATGTATTATATGTAATTCAGAAAATTCAGAAGATTAAAATTGTTTCGTTGTGTTGTTTTATTTTTATTTATTTTTTATTTTATTTTTTTTTATTTTATTTATTTTTTATTTTCATCTAAAATGTAGGTATAAATATATATAGCTGTATATAATTTCTGATATATAATCAATATTATATAGAAAATTTATATTGAATTTACGGTATTTGATTAAGTACACGTAAATATAATTTGTACAGTAAAAGTAGATAATTGAAGAGTATGAAATAACAAAAATAATAAAAACGTAATTTTAATGAATTTTTATTCAACACTTAGTAAATGGACTGTTACTGAAATCGTCCCGAAAATATTGACATTTCGGAAAATTGGTAAAGTCGGTTTTGTGATCTGTGTTTTGTAAGAAAAAGATTTTTTTTTTGGAAAATCATACAAAATAACGTTGGACCATCATTAACCAGAGTAAAATATTATTTACTAATAATTTTAATGAGTTGAATAATTTAAAATTATAAGCACCTATAACAGCTATGTTTACATTTGTAATTTTTATTATCATTGAAATATTAAAAATATCATAACCTTCTATCGTTAATATTATTTTGTCTCGTTTATTAGATATGACAAATGACATGACGAAAAATAGTAAAAAAATAAAACAATACAGTGAAAATGTCTAAAGCGGACCCTGAAAGAAACGGAAAATTATCCAATACGGAATTTTTCTATGGTCCCGGCACGTTCCTATAGTTTTATATAGACGCTGAACCTCAATAAAACGGAACCCTCTTAACACGGAAACGGAACGATTTTGTA